AAAGGCAATTCAGAACCCACCCTGGATTGAATCCAATAAAATGAATCATTATAAAGCCCTCTAGAGCCCTCTAGAGCACATATCCATATGTCAGGTATTGACATGGGAATTCCAACTATTAGGCCATTATTGATAAGCTAGATAAATAACTGAGTTGAAAAAAATATAAATTTTACTATTTTTGCCTAGAATTTGACATTTTCTTGTCAATAACTGTCAACTGGTAGTTTAGGGAATAGCCCTAATAGGGTCATTTTTAATCTTTATTACCCTTTGTCATGTGTGGTATTCACTTAGCTCCAAATATAACTCACTGGACCTGAAATAGTGTATGGAACTCCTCCAAATGACTCCATATGTTATGAATCCCGGCAGAAGTGACATTGGAGGAATTTATCAAAATGTCACTAAATAATCTTTTATGGGGATTTTATTTTCTGCTGTGAATTATTTCTTACTTTTGTGACCATTCCATCATATCTTCTTTTACCTTACCTTTTGTGTAGCTCATTTCAATTTTTAGTTTTTTACCCATTTTTGCACCAAATAAGTAGGCTCGTTTTTTGTGTTCTTTTTTATTTTTAAATAGAAAATGAGGACGAAGGCCAATCATTTTTTTTCATAATTGTCCATTAATTATACAATATGTTGGCCCTATATAAATGCCACAAATAATAATAATAAGAAGAAGAAGAAGAAAGGAGTGGAAAAAATCCTGTTGTAATATAGAAACAAAGGCAAAACTACTTTAATAAATTTTGGACTCCTCTAATCCCCCAAACAAAACATGTTTCACATGCATCGCATCCGTTAAGACAGAATGGAAATAACCCTGGCAATAAATAAACATTTAAATAACATGAATGGAAAATAAATAAAATAAATGGGAAAAGATGAATATTAAAAAAGACTGCTGATTTAGCAAGTTCTGAGGATCTGCAGATTGTACAGTACAGTCCAAGAAAGGGCCAATTATGGAATTACCATTGCTTTCAATGTGAGCCCAGCAGAGATTTATGTAAAATTACCTTATCACAATACAGACAGATAGTGCTGTGTACCAATGTGTGTGTTCCTGACCTGTTGCCTGATTCTCATTCATGAAATAAAATTTATGAGAAAATTAAATGAATGAGAAACATACATGTGAACGGCTACAGATTTCCTGTGTCTCATCTTTTTTTATCTTTTAAATTTTTAGCTAATGGACAGACCTCTCAAAATAATATTGGTCTGTTTCTAAAACTGTTTTGTTTATATTTGTATACTGTGAAATGTAAAGAGCCAGATTGTGCAACATTAATGCTAGATTTATTTCAAGACAGTTTGATAATTACCTGGGTTTATTGGTCGCCCGCTGTAAATTCTGCGTCCGTTTGGATGGAATTTATCGTCTGAGACCATCAGGTAACATTCTCAGCCAATGAATTCAATTAAACAACAGGCACAACTGATATTACTGTCACTAACACAGAAGCAGAAAGGTCCATGTTAGCAATATCTGGAGAGGAGTACTGCCAAGGTAACTTTAAACTATTCAAAAATGGTTTGACTGCATATTGTGGGATAATGCCTGGATTCTCCTGGTACCATAACCACTGCAGCACACTATAGTGGGAACGATGCCTAGACTGATTCTATAATGAGGCTAAATAAATATGTGATGATTAAAAAAATAAAAACAAATTATAGGCACTTGTACATGAACCCACAGAAAATCTATTTAAGTGGGTTATGTGAAACAAAATACTGTATTTATCTCTATTGTTTTGGGGATTTACCTACTATATTGTTACCCTGCACAGAGTCAGCTGCACAGCACCCACATACACTGTCACATAAAGTGCACACAGTAACATATAGTCACAAACACACAGTCATACATAGACAGTCAAATACGCACACACATAGGGCCACACACAGTAACACACATACACTGTCACATAAAGTCACGTGCACACAGTAATATATAGTCACAAACACACAGTCATACATAGACAGTCAAATAAGCACACACATAGGGCCACACACAGTAACACACATACACTGTCACATAAAGTCACGTGCACACAGTAATATATAGTCACAAACACACAGTCATACATAGACAGTCAAATACGCACACACATAGGGCCACACACAGTAACACACATACACTGTCACATAAAGTCACATGCACATAGTAATATATAGTCACAAACATACAGTCATACATAGACTGTCCCATACACACACACACATAGGGCCACACACAGTAACACACATACACTGTTGCATACAGCCACATGTACATATGCAGACAATTTCACAGAGTCACACACAGTTGCAGGCACACAGTCACACATATTGTAACACACAGAAACACACACAAAGTCACTAAATCTCCCTCTTACCATTATCAACACTAGGGGAGCTGAGGGGGGAGGAGAAAGGCCAGATGCACAGCAATCTTTGGTGTCTAGTGGTTGAGCAAGCTGCTTCCCCTTCGGTATGCAGGTAACAGGTTGTGGGTGCCAGTGGTGTATAACTCTGTCCCCATCTGCCTCTATCGTTAAGGCAGCTTCCTCTCTGCTAGTCCCAGCTAGAGGATAATGAAATCTTCTACTCGTATCCCACAAGGCTTTACTATAGAGAGTGACAGGTGGAATGGAGGTGCTGTGTGCAATCCCTTCCTGTCTGTCACCTGGAGCGGACTTTCCACATTGTGTCCCCCTCCCCTTAGTACGCTACTGACCTGATCACACTTACATTTTGGAAAATAGAGGAATCAGAGTAAGAGCCCACTAGTGCTTTACTCTTCAGATGTTATTTGCATAAGAAATCTTTCAAAAATATATTCTTGATATAATTTATATAATGCCAACATATTCCACAGTGCTTTACAATTATAATATGGGAATATTTGCAAACAAGTAATTGACAAACAGAATAATAACAGTCAAGAGTTGAAGAAGGTCCTGCTCAAACAGGCCTACAATCCAAGAAAAGGTAATAGCATGAAAGAATAGAAGAGTAACTGTTGCCAAAATGAAAAGGTAAAACAATGTATAACAATATTCAAAAATAAAGTAAAGAAGGAATACAGTTCCAAGAACTAGGAAATATGTGCCTGGTGTTTGTACACAGAGGACTGGATTTAATCAGTGTAATATATTACTTCACCACTGGATGGCAGTCTTGCACTTCTCATATTATATCATTTGTAAATGGTACTTCTGTTTGTACATTACTTGTATCTTTACATTTAAAGGGCAACAAACGATACATCATATCTAAAGATCCACCATTCTAATGAACCACTATGCTTTGTATTGAATGAAAACTGATACAGTTATTCATTAAAGTCCAGACTATATCAATTTAGCAAGTGGCAAAAGCAAAAATACTCTCAAGGTATGTTGGGTATCTCATAGCATGTATCATTTATTAGAAATACAAACTAAACTAATACATTTTCTAAATAGATGGAACAACAATATAATAAATAACAGTAACAATTTTAGTTCTGTATATACACATCTACATATAGTATCACTCAATCAGAAACTCTACAAAATAGCCATTTGGAAAGTAATAACAAATGTGCCTAAAATAATGGTACTAATAAGCACCCAATCAACCAGTGATAAAAATGTTGCACTTTTGAACAGATGAGTGTCCAGGGATTAAATTAAACACAGTGTGAGGGTAGAGTTTAGAAGCAACACAGCACCTACACCGGTATTCATAGGCTTAGCCCTGTGTGGGGCATGCAGTCTCTGTGCTTCCAAGAGCAGTAATCAGCTGGTGGCCGTCAGCAATCAAACAAATGCCAGAGATGAAATAAACCTCCATATAAGGCAAATTCCTCCACGCAATACACGCACTCTGCCACAGGTGTACCATCCAAGATTCAACTGTAATAGACTCCAGGTCAACGCGTTTCATCCACCGTACAGGACTTTATCAAGACCTTAACTGATCTTAACTAAAGTCAGAATTAGGGAGAATGCTAATAACTGTAACATGAAGGTCAAAATAGCCTAAATGAAAACATACCCAACACGTTCATTATACTCCTATACTGTTATGGTGTTAAAATTGAAATTCACTGTGAACAAAATATTTGTGCTCAAAACTTCTCCAACTCAGCTAAAGTCAAAGCGTGGCTGTTTTCACCTAAATATCATTGTACAACTTACTACAATTATTTGTTTATTGCATTTCCCTAAATAGGATCTGTTACTTTTCTGGAATGTACAATACACCTTGAAAAGCATCTATAACTTGTGTTAAACGTGTTTAATTAGATTCTCTGTTTTCTTTTAAATTCATATTAAGGATTTAGCAAATTACACTATAATACAGTTCAAACAAGGCACAGCCAGGGCACACATGGTCAATTAGGTGGAGATATTGAATAGTATTTAACTTTTCTTCCTCAATGTATACTTTCTCTGCTAACTAAAGAATGATGGACAGGGAGCTAGGATGGGGTTGATAAAAAATATATTCAAAAAATAGAATTGTTTTAGCGTGTTGTCTTAGCTTTCATTAAATATATACAATAACGTGTTCTTCTGACATATTCTTGCAATTGATATTTTTTGTTTAAGTGCAAGTGATATTTTTCTACATGAAATTAATATAATTGCAGTGCTGGAGTTCTATATGACATATTACTATTTGTGGTAATCATAGTGCAAATAAAAACAATGGAGAGAATAATCATATTGTGACATTTTTTTCCCCATCTTTTGTTTTTTATAATAACATACATACTACAAAATAGAACCTTTTCATAGCAGAAGCTCACTGCCTTCACACAACATGGATAAGTCTTTCAGACAAACTAGGTTTAAAAAAAAGTTACACATACTAAACACTAAAATATTGGATTTCCCAAAGTGTGACTTATGAAATATTTGGAGTCTTTGAGAGTAAACGCCAGTGATCCAAGAAAATCGCCGGGCTGCTGCGCTGATACCTCCTGTCTATCGTCGTTGTGTGGACAATCGTCCAGTATATCTCCGGGCTGCTGTGCTGATACCTCCTGTCTATCGTCGTTGTGTGGACAATCGTCCACACAACGACGATAGACAGGAGGTATCAGCGCAGCAGCCCGGCGATTTTCTTGGATCACTTGTGTTTGAACCGTAACATCTGATCAGCAGTGCAGCTCCACCGAAGTGAGGCTCGAGGTGGAACGCACTGTGGAACGCAGACCGACCTCACCGGTCACCAGATGTCAGCTACTGTATCAAGATCACAATCTGAATCCATCCGTGCCGGTGCTTAAGGTTACTGTGCATACTTTACCTTCCTAATCTCTATTGCTCTCTGTGTGAACTTATTTTTAATATATTTTTATGCTACAATAACATTTTTGTTACTTTTTAACCGATTTTTGGCGATACATTCTATTCATTGCTTAGGGCAGCCAGCTCTATGTACTGGCTCTTTGCCCAATTATAGACACTTTTTTATCACATTGTGTAAGGTGATAGTTTATCTATTTATTATTTTTTGAATCTCTGTAGCTTTCATCTAAGTTAGTGAGTGAAAGTATATAATTTGGCACATATTGCTCTTTTTCCAGAATCTTGTTTCCTGGGTTATGAGGTAATTCTGACATACATATATGGTTTGTGTATATATACACACATTTGAATCTTCACATAAATTTGATATCTTGCAATAACAATATTATATCCTGCAAAACAATCCTTTAATATTCACTAGCTCCTGGATTTTTATTGCTACACCTCCTGTGCAGCAGACCTTATTTATTCTGTTTTCAATAGGTTTTTGGGTGGATTCCTATGTTTATCCAGTTTTAGAGCTTCCCTTTGTTAGGTCTTTTTCCCTCTATCTCTCTATACAAATCTTTGTAAGAGAACTTGAACTATAGTGTCCCTTTAAAGTCTGACATCTATGTGCTTTTATAGGCCTCTGAATGTTACAAATTTGAAAATTGGTCACAAAATGACGTCATCGGCATGTGACCGCACATGTGATCACGTGACTCAAATGTTTTTTAAAAAAGCATTAATATTATTTTTAAAAAAGACTTAAAGTTAAAGCATATCTTTAAATATGTGCATTATTAAAACAAGTATTCATAGAGGAAATAAGAACATAGGGTGATTGGGGGTGTGGCTGTATTGCCGCAAGATGGGATGTGTAGTGCATTTCAGGAGTGCGCTATGCATTTTGAGAGATGTAGTTTATTTATGTCGATTGTAACAATGCAATCAGCTACGAATATAAACCAAAGAAGTTAAGGAATTAAAGCTAACTAGCAGAGGGCTTAGTATAACAAACAGCTTATTGTGCCGATGAAAAACAAAAACAAGCATTTCGTCAGAGACAGAGGTGGGGAAGGCGCGGTCATATGGGCTCGTAAGGCAGTATGAGACATGTAGTGAAAAGGGTGGATCGCGTCATAGCCATCGACCGAATAAAACGGGTAAAATATTTGAAAGAGAAATGATAGAGAGTGTAGTACTCTAACTACAGGATGATGTGTCTTATAAAAGGGAAGTGACCCAAAGAGCTAGATGAGGGAGGGGCACAGTGAAATGGATGTGGTCTCAGGGTAGCGGCCATATTTGAGCAGTGTAGTAAAGAAAAAATGTTTAAACAGACATAGTAGGGCAGAGTAATCACATGACCGCATACGGTGGCCATATTGGCAATATTGGAGGGGTAATATAAGCTAGCTAGGTATCCATGTTGGGATGGGAATGTTAAAGTAGAAAAGAGAGATAGGGATAAGAAATAAGAAAAACACAGAGAAAAAACTAGTGATAAAGTGATAAAAAGATCAATTACTTTAATAAAACTTCATCTATGTTCTTATTTCCTCTATGAACACTGGTTTTAACAATGCACATATCTTAACAGATATGTTTTAACTTTAAGTCTTTTTTATAATATGTTGTTTAATGTTATATTTTAAACATTTGGGCCACGTGATCAGTGAATTTAATTATTATAAAAAATTTAAAAAATTAAAAGATAAAAATAAATATTGATTGTATATTCACTTATCAGATTTAATCTTATGATGTCCGTGGGGTTAAGTAGAATTTATAGGACTATAATCTGTATATTTATATATAACACTTTTATATCACATTGATTGGACTATGGATACTTAGAAAAGATAGGGGAAAATAGGATAAGAAGTATTTTTTTATTTTATTTTTTCTGCCCTAGGTGTTATAAGTACACTTTTACACTAATCCTCTTAACAAATATACGTTGAGATGATTGATAGAGTACGATGACTATACACACAATGAGATATATGAGTTATATTGTTTCACTGTTAGTTGTTGCACTTTTAAGTACTGATTGTACTCTTAACAATTATATGTGGAGATGATGGAAAAGTATGATTACTATACACATAATGAGATATATGAGTTATATTGTTACACTCCTGGCTGCTGAACTTTGAAGTATTGATTGTATCTTCAATCAACAAATTTAATCCTATAGCGTCCATCGGGATAGGAACTATTTACATGTCTATAAATTCGCATACGTGTACATAGGATCAATATATAATTCTGTTTTAAATAATGATAGATAATGATAGGGGAATGAAATAAAGTTTTTTTTTCTCAAGTGCATCAGACCTATTCCCGTATTTATATGTTTTTGGTTAAGGCTGGGTCCCTAGGTTCAATTACCAAAGCTACCATTGGTTCTATTGCAATTTCTGATCATGCACCAGTATTTGTACAATTTAATATAAAGGATAGTTCTAGACCTAGGTTACGGTGGAGACTTAATGAAAGTCTATTGAAAGTGCACCATATTAGAAAGTCTCTGTCTTTTGAAATTGAGAATTTTTTAAATATCAATAATAATGGAGAAGTCTCAACCCCTATGGACTGGTGCTCTTTGAAAAGCTTTGTAAGAGGTTTATTAATTAAATATGGTACAGAATTCAAACATAAGAAAGGTGCATCCCTACAAGAATTGAGGATAGAACTGGCTAAAAAAGAACGTTTAAATAAAATTGGTGTGACCAGGGAACTAACGGAAGAAATAATTAAGATAAAGATTTATATTAAGAATAAAACATATGAGTGGGTTAATAAAAATATTGTTTTCCTTAAACAAAGATGGTATCATAATAATAATAAGATCAATAGGGATCTATCAAACAAATTAAAGTTTCATCTTAAAGATAAATCTATTAAAAAAATAACTCTGGGGGATATCCACTTAACATCACCTAATGACTTTGCTAGGGCCTTTGTGGACTATTATAGTTCTTTATACAATTTAGATGTGGTAGGGGCTGATAAGAGTGAGACTGATAAGTTCTTAAGGAAACTCGACCTTCCAAGAATTAATATAGAGAAATTGGAAGGTCTAAAAGCACCTTTTCTTCTATCAGAAATAGTAGATGTAATAGATAATTTAAAACCAAATAAGGTGCCAGGCCCGGATGGCTTTTCTGCTATATTTTATCGAACCTTCTATAAAAATATTACACCTATTCTCTTAGAGATGTTTACGAATGTTTCTATAGAGTCTCCCTTTCCGAAGGAGATGATGTTAGCCTCAATTATTCCAATACCTAAGGCAGATAAGGACCCTTGACTTATTACTAATTATAGACCGATATCTTTAATTAATATAGATATAAAAAAAAAATTCTAGTGTCCTTTCTAACCGTCTCAAAGGAGGCATAGAAGACTTACTTGAGGTGGATCAGTCTGGTTTTGTGAAGGGAAGAAGTACAACTGACAATACTCGCAGGATATTTAACCTAATACATAGACTGAAGGAGAATCAAATAGGAGCCATCATTATGGCCCTCGATGCCGAGAAGGCCTTTGATAGGGTCAGTTGGAATTTCCTTGACTCTGTCATGGGCCAGTTCGGCTTAGAGGGACATTTTAGGAATAAAACTATGCTATTATATAAGAACTCCTCAGCGAAAATTAGTAACCCTTACTTTGATTCGGATATTTTGGCCCCCTTTGGTCCCCCTCCTATATGTCCTTACAATTGAACCACTAGCTACCCTGATTAGATAAAATAGTAATATAAAGGGGGTACAGCTACAGGAAGGTAATGTTAAGATATCTTTGTTTGCAGACGATGTCCTTCTTACCTTGGTTGATCCGTTGGTGTCAATACCAGCTTTAATGGATGTTATTTCTATCTATAGCAAATTTTCTAATTATAAGGTCAATTTGAAAAAGTCTCAAACTCTATCATTCCTTCTGACTAAGACCCAGAAAGATCTTCTGACTTCTCGTTACAACATGATATGGGCAAGCGATACAACTGACTATTTGGGGGTTAAAATATCTTTTGATATTGATAATGTGATACAAACGAATTTGGACTATTTAATTAATGATCTACGATCTCAGGTTGCAAAATGGAAGAAGTTGGAATCTTCCTGGATGGGAAGAATGAATATTACCAAAGCATTCTTATTGCCAAAACTTTTATATCTTTTCAGGGCAATTCCATATAGAATAGGGATGGAGACCCTTAAACGCTTCCAAAGTGTGTTTTCTAGCTATATTTGGCTGGATAAACCACAGAGGATAGCGTTTGATATTTTGCGAAGAAGCTATTCGAAGGGCGGTATAGCTTTTCCAGATGTTGTTAAGATTCACAATACATCTAAAGCAACTCATCTTTTGTTATGGCTGAATCCGGCCCAGTGTCCCCCCTATTTATGGTTTAAACTTGAACAGGAATGTAGCCCTAGGCTCAAATTACCTACTTTATTGTGGTTAGGCCTTTTGAATCTGTGCGTATTTCAACCAGAACAATTTTCTAATAAAATTTTAAGTGATATGCTAGCCACAGCAAAATTTTTAAACAAGAAATTAAATCTGGAAGGTAAAATATTTTACGACACTCCAATAGAGGTACTTCAATATGCTATGATAGATCTAAATATTAACTCTTGGTTACACTTGGGAATATTAAAGATCGCAGATATATGCAAGGCTTGTAAACCGGTCACATTTGCTTTTTTACAATCAAAGTTTAATCTTCCATCTAGAGATTTGTTTCGATATCTCAGAATTAAGAATTTTTTACTATCCAAGTCGATAATTAAAGTTCATCATATTACCCC